TCTGAGATATGGCTGTTTCTGCCCAGTGAAAGATGGCATCCCCCGTAAAACCCACGAAACCAAAGGCTAGTCGGGTCTTCCCAATTTTACAGGACGAGCCTTCCATTTCCCGATGCCCCCCAACTGCTGAATGCATGGCATTACCAAAATAAAAAACAAACTCAATGGCAAACAGTCAACTTGTTCTCCAAGAATACTTTACTTCCGATATTTACCTCCCCCAACCCAACCCGATAAAAATACCAAAGCACTACCGTTTCCGCTTCTGCGCTTCCTATAAATGACCCCACATCTGCAGACCTAGCGTTCCTCCATTTATCCATTTTTTCAGTCGCTTTTCTCACTCGCGCTCTCTCTCTCCCTCTCTCTCTCTCTCTTTCTAAGTCTCACCTTCGCTCTCTGTTCCGCATTTTCTCTCACTTAGGGTTTTATAGTTTTCTGCTCTCTTTTCCTCTTCTTCATTTGCGATGGCGCAGGAGGCTCACAACGCAGGCGCTGCACCCAACGGAGCGGCTGTGAAGGAGGTGGTTTTCAAGGTGGCGAAGCCGTGGCTGTTCGTGGAGGCACCAAAGGCGAACGACGCCGTACAGTTTTACAAGGTGGCATTTGGAGCCGAAGAGGTTAACCGTACCGTGCATCCTAAGAGGAAGGCCGAGCAGGAGCTTCCTCTCCTTCTTTCTGCTGAACTCAAGCTTGGTTCCTTTTCCTTCCTCGTCTCTGACCTCATTGCTGATGACTCCCGTGCTCCGTACGTTTTCCGTCCTTTTTTAAATTTTTGCTAGCGCTGAAATGATCTCCGTACGATTTTTTGCTTGCTGTTTGGATGGATCTGTATTATCAAAACGATATTTATGAACGAGGCCTGTTTTACGTTGTTTTGTTGTTTGTTTAATTTATCTTGGTCTTTTGGTTCTTCTGCTGAGGTCGTTATTATTCTGTTGTTGGTTGTCTTGTATCAGGATATTCTAAAACGATAAAAAGGATGTATGATCATTTTTTAACAGCTAAAATTTCATTTTATATGTTTTTTTCCTAGTTTTGGTAGTTTTATGATGTGTCTGTCCTTTGCTCATAATATTTCGGCGAACGTTAGTTGTCATTACCATTTTCCCCCCTCTGAAATATAGTTGTATTATGTTTTTTTACTTATTTTTGTATTAATTACGTGGGTAAATGGAGTCGACTGACATGGTTTTCGCGTTAATCTTTTAATTTGTGAGCTTAACTCTTTTACATCGCCTCTCCAATTTTTTTTGTGGTTGGACGGTGTTTTCCCGTATGTTTTTTACTTTTTGGCTTTCCGTGCGATCTTTTCATTGCTTTAGGGTTCTTTTTTTTTGCATTTTTTATTTCACTTCATTCACCATAACACTACTGTTTTTAATTCCGTCCAGAGTGAAAACAGTTGGAGGCGGAGTGGCTTTCTGCCTGGAGACTGAGGAGGTTGAAGCTGCGGTGGAGAAGGCTGTGGGTGCCGGAGCCATCTCGGAGGATGTGAGTGAGGCTGATTGTTGCGGTGCTGATGGGCGCGTGGTGAAGCTCAAGGATCCCTACGGAAATGTTTGGCTGGTTTGCTCGCCTGCGAGTGCCTCTGCTGACGTGGAGGCTTAAAAGGCGTTGGATCTAAACCATCATGTCTCTCATCTCTAACTTTTACTAGTACTCAATCCAGACGTATTATCGTTTTGTCTCAGACAGTCAACTCCGGTAGCATTGCAGATATTAAGCTAGTATTATTAAATACCAGAAACTGCAGTAGCTGGTTAGATGCTTAGAACATCATTATGGTATTTTGGGTTCGAAACAATGTTGATGATCCATTGCAACTTTAATTCCCTCTCTCGGCTGAAACGGCTTAGTAGTTAAGGTCTTGCATTATGTGCTTTGTGATTTGCTTTTGTGGTTAGTTGCATGTTTCTAAAGCTACCTCAACTAATGGCTTGAATGAGGGTTTTATGGTGAAAGGATAAGGGGTAGTGCTGACTTTTCGACAACCCCATATCCGGTGGTGAGAGACACGTCCTTGGAGAGTGTAATGGGTTATGCGGGTTCTAGGTGGTGGTGGTTTATAGTTGTTACTTTGTAAGACTATAGTATCTTACTTTGATATATGATTATTAAGGATTAGTATTATATTGTTTAAATTACTGGTTGGAGACTTCGACGAATGAAAAAGGCCTTGGGCGTTGTTAAGGTTGGATGGGGTAAAAAGGGGGGCCCGAAGTGTGGAGAAGTGGGGTCTGGGGGTTTGAAAATTAGGGCCGTGGGCACCAGTAGTTGTACGAACGGCAGGCATTGCCATGCATTAGAGCGTTGAAAACGCAAAACTATAATTACGTTCAGGCGAGCAGCTCTGCGTATCGGTATGGGACGAGCTTGGCCGTTAAATTAACAGAGAGATGTGGTCCCAGTAACCTTTCGTGGATTTCTCGTGAGTTAATGTTGGGAGGGTGGAACCGATTCTCTTTAGGCGAATTGGTTATATTAGATAAAGTGCAGGTTTGATCACAGATTAGAAATTAATCTCTACGCTTGCAATAAAATTTGAAAGGTGTGTAGTATTATTGTATCTTTTGATTTGGGAGGTAGGAACTTTTCCTCCTAGTTTCCCTTGGTCTGCTCAAGCCCTCATCTGATATATGTTAAAGAGTGGGAGTCAGAATTGATGGCTGACAAAACATAAATGTTGGTGGTGCTAACAATTCCGGTTTCAGCTATAGCTTGTTTATTTGGCTTGAAGCACGAGCTTACCCCCTACTGGCTTGGCACGCGATTATGCTGTATTCCTATTGTTTCTCTTTTCTCGTATTAGAAGAATACTCGGTTGATTCTCGCTAAAAGAGTATTAATTAGGTTCATTAAAAGTAAACTAATTGGTTAGTGTCAGGATTGGCCGATTAATCTTTAGGGAAGGGGCACAAAAATGAGGAATGCTGCAAAATGACCACTGTTGATGCAGGGATTGCCTTGGCAAAACCAACAGTCAAATTCAGGGACATTCATTCGATTGTCGGAACAATAAACGTACTGTTCCCTCCGTCCCACTTTGATAGTCTTGTTTTCCTTTTTCGTCTGTCCCAAATTGTAGTCCACTTTCCCGTTAAGAAATGTAGTAATCTTTCAAATTGTCTAAAATACCCTTATTAAATATCTTGTTATTAATACATTGTTATTAAATACTAACCCACTACATTGAATACATTGAGCTTTTTCAATACTAACCCATTAGCTGTAACTGATATTAATTGACACTCTTCGTGATTAGCATAAGGGTATTTTAGGAAATTATTAATCTAAATTTATGTTTCCAACCAAATTAATTATACTTTTTTAATTTGTGTAAAAAAAAAATCAAGACTAACAAAATGGGACGGAGGGAGTATTAGATTAGTTTTATATTTTTAAGGTACACGCTTCCAAGTAAATCTGAATATATCTTACGCAGCAAACCTTTCAGCGTTTTGCTTAGACACCCGAAAAAAAAAAAAGAGAAAAAAGAAAAAGCTTTTAGCCTTTCTGCTCTCTCCTATAACGACTCACCGTTCCTGTAGTACTCTAGTGTAATTTTGCTTTTAAAATGTTAATTCTAAGAAGAGTTATAGTTATTGATTTATTCACGTCATTTTTATTTTTGGGGTTCCAGATTTATTTATGTATATTGTTAAAGCTTTTAGCTTTTATTCATCAGAGTCCTTGATTACCCTTTTCCTGTACTGTATTTGTTACTATTTTGTGAACTATCCATCATACACCAACGGACAAGGAAATGAAGAGAACAAAAAACTTTTAATATCAAAGTAGAAACCTACAATCCTGTTTGGTTAACAAAAAGTTTACGTGACAATCTCATCGAACTAAAGTCGTTTTAGCTTCTCAGCTAGCAACGCTGGTTGGGTATTGAAATCGACATAAAACTTGGAAAAGAACATGTCAGCATTGATATTGGTAAAGTACCCGAAGCATAGAAAGTGAAATTCCACAGGCCCAATGTTCCTAACTTGCGCATAATGGCTAGATTTGTGCATGTAATCAGATTTTGTGAATTGAATAAAAACTGAACTTCCAAGTTTCCCGAATTATGCATCGGACTATGAATTTTTCCAATAGCCAATTGTATGTATTCTTTTCCCTTTTAATCAACATTTGACATTCATCTAATGCCGCCGTTATTAATTTCTACAGTATTTTCCTTTTTTGCTTGGACCCTGTGGTTAGCTTTTTGGGCCTGTTGAAAGAGCATGGATTGTTGTGCATATGGCAGGGTCCTAGGATACTAAGTCAGGGCTGTTGAACTTGGGCCACTCCTCGGTGAAAAACAATCGATTGTTGGACACAACCGTAATTGATCCATTGCCATTTATCTCCCACCATCATGGACTCCCCCCAAATCTCAGGAGCCATAGAATCATATAGACCTTACTACTTCATACATGCGACGACGGCCACGGTCACAAAGATCTGGCCAATAAAGAAAAAGAGTGTGTGGCTGTCTATAGAGAGTAGAAACACCTTGGCTTGGAGTCGAGCACAGAAATTAAGGCCGTATAGAACTGAAAGTATCTTCAGGACAATACTTTAGCATCTCGTAATGTGAAGTCTCATTTATTCTACTCCGTAGACAGAATAACTATTACGTAAACAGGTTTAACCGACTCTAATCTTGTATGTTTACCCTGTAAGCTTTATCCAAAGAGGCATTCATTTCATGCATTTGCCCACTTGGGATCCTCGGTGACATGTTTTCTATGCCAACCCAATGCCACCTATAATATTGTGCCAAGTGTCCTGTTATTATTTACACTTTAATTTTCTAATAATTCAACTTGGTTTGGTTTTTATTTACACTTGTGTTAAACCAAACCAAGTTGAATTATTAGAAAATTAAAGTGTAAATAATAACAGGACACTATGCACAGTAGTATTATAGGTGGCATTGGATTGACATAGAAAAACATGTCACGAGGATCCCAAGTGGCATTTGCCCTGCAGCATATTTCATGTTTCAGAATAAGCGTGGTCAAAGACTTAAAAGAGAGGAATTAATTCTTACACCACACAACAAACACCACAGTAGGGATCTTCAGACTTCCATGCTGATTCAGGTTGCTATTACAAACCATATACATACAACGACGATGCTAATTAAAACAGTACTACTCCATGAAACTGCAGTCCCAGCTCTCAACCAATTAACTATATGTGATCCATATAATGAATGCCATAGCCAGCATGTATACTCCTCGGACGTACCTGGAAGAATGCAAAACAAAAGTTGATCAATAGTCTAAAAACTTATTATTCTTTTTATATACTACTCAGTAAATTTAAGCCATGCTTGATGAGTGGAATATCTTAGAGATCCACGGCTTGTTAGTGGAGGGGGAATATTAATTGATGACCTTTTAACAATCTGGAGGAAGGGCGAGGTTGCATTTGGATGGGAGTGCCAAGGCAAGGTCAGGATCAATCCCAAGAGAGGGCAACGTGAAGGAGTTCTTATAAGAACACAAGCATTTCAAGTCCGCCCCTTTGAGGGCATCGCAACAATCGGAGGTGGGATCGACCGGGTCGGGCGGTGGTGGTGTCACTGATGGCTTGCATGCCATTAGTCCCTTCTCGTCCATGTTGCACAAGCTCATAGCCCTTGACCATTCAGGGCATCCTAGTCCCACCAGCACCACCAGCATTACTGCTACTGCCGCTGTTTTGCTTCCAATTCCACTTCCCATCTCCGCCATTATTTCAGTGTTGGTTGCTCAATTGCGATCTTGAGTGGCTTATGGCTAACTAACTCACATGCATGTCTTGAAGATTTATATATAGTGTTAGAGTCCTTCCGTGAAAATAATAATAATAAAAATAATAATAAGTGTGAGCCCGTGACTTAGAATTTGGCACGAACGGCTTTAAAGTTGATTCAATCATACGAGTCACGGGTGGTGAAATGCAGAGGGGTCATCTAATGTTTGTGGCTTTGGTAATTGGGTACGTTTCCTGAACCAATCTTCTTTATTGAATTTTTGTGGTCATAGAATGGTCTGGAATTTTACTAGATGTCGGGAATAGATTGGAAGGTATGATTTTGAGTTTGTCTTTTTTGTGTGTTTGTTTGTTGTAGTCCGGATGTACTCTAATCCGGCTGTGGTTTGTTAGTTCTAAGTTTATTGGCCTAGTTTGTTGATACGTTGGCAATTAGGACGGTCAAATCATCGTTTTATGGAACAAAGCGAGGATTTAGTTGTCTTCTCCATATTCATTATCAATTCCACTATGAACTCATGGCCTGGCATACATAATGCAATGAAATTATGTCATAGTTTAGGCTCCCATCGAGTTTCATATGTTACATAGTTTTCGTTCAAATAGTTTGTTGAAGGTGTTGCAGTGTAGCGCAGATACTAGGGATGCAAAAGATTCGGGTCACTCGATTTGAACTCGCAAATAACTCAATCAATAACTCAACTATGACCAAACTCGAGTCAAATTTGAGTTTACAAGTCGAACTCGAACTCCAAATTCTAGTACTCAAAGGTTTAAAGGCTCAACAAGTCCATTCGAGTAATCACATTTTTTTAATTAAATTATTAATATTACAAATTTACTATTTTGTGTACATTTTGTGAAATTTACTAAAGGCTCTACAACTATTTTGAGCTTTTGCCAGTCGAGACATGCATTTGAAATCATATAGACAGAGATTCTTACATATAACCCACAAACACAACTCTCACATTGTCGGCAGTAGGATTCGTACATACGATTGGAAGATACTCGTTCTTATCAACTAACTAGGGAGGGATAGCCAGCGCGACGCACGGGAATTTGGTGATTGTGATTCAAGATAATTAATAATTATTGTTTAATATTTTGTAGTATAGGAACTGAAGTATGATGATTTTATCATGTGATTTTAATAGAAAAATCACATGAATTACATAGTGAGTCAATAAAAATAATGTGCAATAAGACATTCTTATCGTTATACTATATAAGAATCCGTTATGACCAAAGGTTATGTTTAAATTTCAATTGCAAAGATAATGGTAGTTTGAAAATATAAGAATGTTTGAAGTGCAATTAAAAAGTATCCAAAGGTCTATTCTAAAACTTATCCAAGATGATAAAACATTTTAAAATATCAATTAGACCCTTCATCTCTCGAATCTATATATGTTCGTGAAAGATCCCTCAAGCAATACTTCTGATTTCTTTCTCGACTTAAGCTCAATCTGAATTATCAAGTCAAGTTTATTCATCAATCACTTTACGTCCAATCTAATATAAAATAATTTTATTTTTTACTAACTATTTATATAATTTGGTGGGTATAACACGACTTAATCACATGTTTCTTACAGAGATAATAATGTCCAAAAATGATAGATAGGTAAGAAACTTAAATGGGCTTTTTCAAAGTTTTGTAGAAACTATTCAGATTTGGTGTTTTTTGTTAGGGGCATTTCTTTATAATCTCATAAATAAGTTCAAATCTGCATAATTGTTAAAGATCTGAATTGAAACTATCTTGATTATAAAAAATTGGTGCAAATAATATTTTCTAAATTTAAAATTGTAGAAAATGGTAAGTAAAATCAGAAGAAATTCCTCGTATGAATTCAAATTGCAAACTATAGGTAGAAACTGCTTAATGATATTTTTCAATGTTTACTTGTATAAGTATCCAATATAACATCTCTACTTAATTGACTCGTTTGAACTATGGATAATAGTTGTTTCAATCAAATCAAGAAACATTATTTATCATTGTACAACATACAATTATGAGTAAATGAATTAATACAATGCAATCAAAATGGTGCTGTAGGTAAGGCATTTAAACTCATCAAGTTCCACTACAAATTCTTTTACATAGCATAAAAAAACAAATTTTTTATATTTGAAACTATATAAACAGTATAATACAAGAACGAGATCATAACATGGAAAGCAAATAGAGTGCAAATGACATCTCAGTACTATGTGGCATGATTAATTTTCTTTTTTAGTTTCAATGAAATACAAAATTCTAAGTTAATAAATTTTACAATCATAAAATTCTCAATTAAAATAAACACAAGCTGAATTCCAAATCATATTATATGAAAAAAATAACTACTTGAACCATAATTGTTGGAATATAGTCAACAGATCCCTGGAGTCAAGAATAATAGGAGAATGTTCATGAGAAATAAGGGGAATGTTTGGATACAAAACTTATCTCAAATAATTTTTCGCTTGCATCATAAACACATTTTCCAATCCACCTTTTTATATTCCCAACCACCTTTTTATCTCACATACATCACATCACAAAAAGTACTACAGTAATTATTCCAAATAATATTTCAAATAATACCCTATCCAAAAGGTTATTTGACTTAAATAAAGAGATAATATCTTGGGTGAGGAGGAGAAGATGATAAAATTGCTTTTCTGATTATTTTAGAAAGTGACAACATTATTTCAAATTGTACTTTGACCAGAGACAGAATCTCTGGGATCTACTAAGAAAAACAATACAATTAGTCAGCTTTTGGAATTAGAAGTATCTAAAGGCAAACTATATGGAGTTCTGGAATAAACCAATCATCAGAAAAAAAAAACTACAATCGAAGAAAACAAATTCAAAGAACTCACCTCAATTTAAAGGAAAAGTTATGCATTCCACCAAATATTTAATAGCTATAATAAAATCAAAGAGGTGAAACCGAAAAAGAAGAAAGGGTATCGGCTAAACATAGGACATAAATATGATAATGATTGTTCAGATAATAATTAAGTTAATTAATTGTAATTAAAATCCAATTATGTAAACATCCAATTAATTCCTTAACGGATGAGAAAGGTTTCAAGAAATTGGAAGGCTTGGATGTTAGTAAAATAAATGATTAAAAGGACTTTTATGTAATTATATCAAAATACAAGCTTTATTCAGTTGTATTTGATACTCAATTTGGCACCAAACATTGTAACATACCAAACTTGCCCCTAACCTTAAATGTCTGAAAGGTTATATAAGTAATTATAGTGAAATTAAAGCTATAATGACTTGTACTCAATGTTCCAATTACTCTTCAAACACTCTTACATTCCCAAAATAGCCTCACCCCCTGCAGTTGAAATCTAGTCCTAAACTCGTTCTTATATAGTATAAGGATAAACATCCAATTAATTCCTTAACGGATGAGAAAAGTTTCAGGAAATTGGAAGGCTTGGATGTTAGTATAATAAATGATTAAAAGGACTTTTATGTAATTCTATCAAAATACAAGTTTTATTCAGTTGTACTTGATACTCAACTTGGCATCAAACATTGTAACATACCAAACCTGCCCCTAACCTTAAATGTCTGAAAGGTTATATAAGTAATTATAGTGAAATTAAGGCTATAATGACTTGTACTCAATGTTCCAATTACTCTTCAAACACTCTCACATTTTCAAAATAGCCTCACCCCTTGCGGTTGAAATCTAGTCCTAAACTCGTTCTTATATAGTATAAGGAATCAATTTGTGTTACCAACTGAACCAACAAATTTTTGCCACCTAAGCCGAAAATTGGCATCTCTTTTGTTGTTCAGCAGCACAGAAAAAAAAAAAAGAAGAAAAAAAAGAGTTAATCTCAACCCCCCATGAGCGAAAGAAAAACCTTTGCCGTTGCAAGCGTTGACGACCCAAATCCAGACAATTAGAATAATGGGAAGGCTTTCAGGCTTCGGACGACGATCGGTATTGGGCCAATGGGCTTGTGTCCGACTAACCAGACCGATAGAATCTGTAAACAGGACGACGCATCCAATTTGACCATGCGTTATTATGTGCGGAGCACAATGAAAGAACCAAAGGGCAAACTCGGCTGGGACTCCCTCCACAATGGATGAAATTGAATGGTCGTTTTCCTTTGTCGAGAAGCCGATGTTGAGGTGGGCAGGCAACCCTGGCTATTAATTAGTTGGTCTCCCCGTTAGCTAAGCTTAGAATCAATAATGCAAAAGTCAAACCCGGTTCTCAATGCGACGCAGACGCTACAGTAGAACGAACTTCAGGTGCTGCAATGTCATCACTCATCACACAGGGGCAGGATCCGATCAACCAATCAATAATTCATTTCTCGTGGAGAATCACACGGAGAGTTATTTGTGCTTCTTATGGATAGGTCCATATAAAGATTCGGTTGTCCAATGCATGGATTCTCCGGTGGAAGAGATTCAATAAATCGGCGAGGAGGAGTCAAAAATTAGACTGTAGTAACACGCCAATGTTCAAATTATTATTATTTCTTGGGACGGAAGCGCAATGAAGCTGGACTTTACTAGTACTCCATTCGGTTTTCAAATTCAGAACTTACTACTAGTAGCCTCGAGATAAGAGAGAATGAATCTCTTGCCAATTAAATTGGTGGTTAAGAAGATTATCTCGAGTAGCTAGCTGCTATGCAGAGGTACGAAGTTATATATATACTAGCGGAGAATTGCATGTTTGTACCGGATGGATACTCCACAGGCAACTCAAATTCATCCACTTAAAGGAAAAGAGTTTTGAATGAGAATCCACGATGACTAAATTACTATATCGAATATGAGTGCAAAGTACACGAATTTTAAGCAAGATTATATCAAGTGACAATTTTTTGATAAAAAATAAGAATTGAATTCTTGATCTCTTATCCTTCCATCCCACGCTAAAGGCGACGGTGAACTCCATTAAAGGGTGTTGGTTATCCCTGTATTCAAAGTTTAAAAACCTGCAGCTGCAGCTGATGCCTCTGTAGTTTTGTTGACCCATCAACACTGCAAT